ACCCTTGTATTTCTCATTTCTCTGAGTTACATTCTCACAGGATAGCTTACGCATCCTCTCTTATTGTTCTCTTCTTTGGGTATTAACCCCTATACCAGTTACTATATATACTGTACAAAGAATTTGCGGATGTCTTCGACAAGAAAAGCTCAGAGTGATTTCCTGAACGACGACCTTATGACCACGCAATAGATCTCAAGGAAGGATTTGTTCCAAAGAATCAGAAGCTTTACCCTATGTCACCATTGGAGCAACAGAAGCTCCATGAATTCTTGAAGGAAAACTTGTTGAAAGGCTACATCCGACCGTCAAAATCCCCTATGGCATCACCATTCTTCTTTGTAGGCAAGAAGGATGGAGATGTACGGCCTTGCCAAGATTACTGGTATCTCAATGAATGGACAGTCAAGAACACCTATCCAATTCCCCTGATCAGTGAAATCTTGGACAAGCTACAAGGGGCAAAGGTTTGCACCAAATTGGATGTCCGCAAAGGCTACAACAATGTCCGTATCAAAGAAGGTGATGAATGGAAGGCAGTGTTCAAAACCAATCGGGGATTGTTTGAACCAACCGTCATGTTCTTTGGTCTAGCAATTCGCCGGCAACATTCCAGTCAATGATGAATGAATTATTCAAAGACATGATTGACGAAGGATGGCTTATCATCTACATGGACGACTTCCTTATCTTCTCCAAGACAGCTGAAGAAGATATGGAAAGGACAAAAAGAGTCTTGGCACAACTAAGGGAAAATGACCTATTCCTCAAACTGGAGAAATGCTATTTTGTCAACCGGAAGTGGAATACCTTGGACTGATCGTCAAGGAAAACCACTGAGGCATGGATCCAGTCAAGTTGAAAGGAATTGCAAGTTGGCCTATCCCTAGGAAATTGAAGGTTGTCCCGTCATTCCTAGGATTCTGCAACTTCTACCGACGATTTATTCCACACTTTGCCAATATCTCTCAACCATTGAACGAGCTCACCAAGAAGGATCATCCTTGGGACTGGACAGCTGAATGTCAAACCGCATTTGAAACCTTGAAGCAGAAGTTCCTGGAAGAACCAGTGCTGATGATGCCAGACAAATCCAAACCATTCATCCTGGAAACCGATGCATCCAAGTTTGCATCAGGGGCAGTTCTACGCCAAAAGGATGTAAATGGAGACTGGCACCCATGCGGATATCCTTCACAGGCATTTGACAAGGCTCAACGAAACTATGAAATCTATGATAGGGAGCTCCTGGTGATCATTCGAGGACTACAGAATTGGGACTACTACTTTGAGGGTGCACCCCATCCAGTCACGGTCTACTGCGATCACAAGAACTTGCAGTACTATCGATCTGCACAACACCTAACAAGACGACAAGCTCGGTGGTCACTGTATCTGTCCAAGTTCGGTCTGATCTTGAAACATATTCCTGGGCCACAAATGGTGCAATCAGATGCGCTCTCAAGACGACCAGATCTATGTCCTGACGAGGAAGACGTTGACCAGGTGGTCCTATTACCAGAGCAAATGTTCAATAGTGTTGCAACTCCAGATCAGGATGAACGTATGAGCGAACCCTCTACACCTAAACCGGGGAAGGAATTGGAGATTCAAACAAAGCAGGATATACCAATGACACCATCCGAACCAAGCCCAATGGAACTCAAGGATGACCCAACGGAAAATGTATCCATGACAAAGGGCAACGAGGGTCCAACTGAATCAAAGGTTGATCCAACACTGATCTCTTGTGATGACCCCACGATTGTATGGATCGACAACCCTGACCTCCAAGGTGACATTCACCCACCCGATATCATGGAAGCAGAAAGGATCACGAACAAGCGAACACATGAACCAATGATCAACAATGACTGGATTCCCATTGACAAAAGGCCACGCCTAGATGGACAAGAACAAAGTACCTTGACAGACAGGCCATTGGAAATCCAAGCCATTGACGTAGACCGACATGATCAAATGGTTAAGGCAACTGAGATTGACTCTGTGGTATGCGATGCTCTGCAAGCCTTGAAGACAGGATCACCCCTTCCCCTCCGATCCTCACTCAATGATTGGAAACTTGAAGAAGGGCTTGTAAAATTCAAAGGACGCATCTACGTACCAGCCAATCAAGATCTACGCAGAGAAATTGTGTCTCAGTACCATGACTCTCTGCTGGACACCCAGGATGCTTCAAGACTCTGGAATTGGTTCAAAGAGACTATTGGTGGCCAGGAATGTTCATCTTTATCCGCAATTATGTTGATGGTTGTGCTACCTTTCAACAAAACAAAGTGAACACTCACCCTTCAGCACCTGCATTGAACCCCATCCCTGCCCCAACACGAACACATCCATTTTCTGCCACCTCGACCAAATCATGGTCATGGTAGACCATGCCCTAACAAAGGGGGTAATTTTGGTGCCATGTCACAAGATGATTGATGCAGAGAAGACTGCTCAAATTTTCCATGAGAATGTCTACAGACGATTTGGATCACCTGATACCATCATATCTGATAGAGGACCTCAATTTGCGTCAAAGGTTCTCCAAGAAACATGCAAGCTGCTAGGCATCAAATCCAAACTCAGCACTGCTTATCACCCTCAAACCGATGGCGAAACTGAGAGGGTCAATCAAGAACTGGAAAAAGATGGGAGATACTATTTTAGTTTTGCTTGTTATTCACAAAAAGGTATTCTAACTCATGGTCAAGAAACAGTATTGGGATGTGCTAGAAGTGTCCATAACAGTAGATGAATAGTGCAGCTATCACATCGAAGTTCTTCCCCCACAAAAAATTGAGGAGGAAGGGCAGTGTGGTCAAATGTGTAAAGGTCCGGTGGTGTGTAAAGGTCCGGTTGATGACTGTATATGGTGGAGCGACCATTTCTTCCCGACAGGACCCTCCTCCCTGCTAGCATGGGAGTGGGGAATGGGGAATGGGTTGCTGATGGGTTGTTGCTCTCAAGGGGGTTGCTGATTAGAAGTATCCCTGTGTTACAGTCCCGGACAACCAAAGACAACAAATTCAGCGACCAGATTTCCTGAGGTCCAGCAGCCATGGGAACCCCAATTTTATTGCAGAAACGAGTGATTTAGACTCTAAAGAAGAGATTGGCATGAGCCGATTTCCCATAAACCCCCTGTAGCCATCAATAATGGGTCGGGATGGGCCAAAATTTTGGCCGTATACAAAACAAATTGGGAAAAATGCGGAAAATATGCCAATCGACTCCTTTCAATGAGCTGAGTTTGACTCCGGCTTAAATCTAATAATTGGACCAGCCAATATGCCATAATAGCTCTCATAAGTAGGTAGCCTTACTGCGCCCCGTGCAAACATGTACAAATATACCATATTGAGAAGAATGTCACGTGATGCCAGCAAACGCGGGCTTCCTGATGCGCGCGTGTCCGGCCAGTAAGAGTGTCTTCAAGTCTGGACTAAGAGGGTCATATAGACGGGGCAAAATAGATTTTCATTGAAATCTATATAGCTGTGATACATGTGGCTGACAAGGATAATATAAAAGCTAACAATAAGGAAAATTGGTAACCCTAAGAGCACAAATCAAAGGAATTTTCAACAGTACGACTTGAACTCCAGACATCCAGCACAGAAGGCAGGCCACATAACCACACTAAAGAGGCAATACAATTCTTGCGCATTAAACTAATATAATGGCAATGTAATTGGCGTTTACTTAATACGGCGGGGTCCAGTTATTTTTAGTGACGCGGCCGGTGGGGTCGGAGGTCACATGATATTTTTCTCGAAAAGGTAATATTTGGTCGTGTTTACACGGGGGCGCAATAGCAAAGATGCTCATAAGTGCAGGCCAAATATGGCAGTCAAGGTAACATGTGCAATAAATTTGAACTTCCTTGCCAGTGGGCGGCCTCAGAAGGAGGTCTGAAGTCTTCGAAAGCCTAGATGCAGCTCCATGCAAGGGTTTACAGGTCCCCAAAGGCTCATGTCGGAAAAATCAGAAAAACATGATATTGCTATACAATGCCAGATAATGCACTGATAAGTCAATCAGGTTCGAGGAGAGTTATCGGGTTCAGAAATGATCAAAAAGCGCGTATAAGCCTCCGTCAGGCTGATCAGGCCTGACGGGGGTTACAAGCCATTATAAGGCATGATAAGCCCGGATAAGGCCATGGGTCCCAGAAATGAGAAAAAGAGGAGCCACTCACGCCACCCGATGGTCATCGACACCACTACCTAAGACATCACTTTAATACAGGTACTTCGACTTTGATTCGAACGAGCGGCCTTGAGTTGAACGATGATGATATATGTAAACACTAACGATATAACTACTACACTACGCAACAATAGCTGTGTGGGTCTCACATTGGTATATATATATCATACATACTGCCTTACCGGGCGACTCGTAATTACCGTCGCTCGCGCTCACGTCCTCTGACGTACGGCTCTTGTAGATTTCGCCATAACTTTAGACTTAGACTATAATGCTACCGTAGTCAAACATGCCACCTTTAAAACACTCAATCCGTGTAAAGGCTACGACCGTATTTCAAGATGTTTCCGACGTACAGGTCTACTACAGAATTCCTGTGATATTACAGCACCACCAGAAGCCCCTACCTAATCCAAGCCTGACAACATCTGATAAGGGCTTATCAGCCTTGAAACATAACATTATAATGCCTGATCAGTCCGTCAGGTTCTGTCAGGGCTTATAAGTCTTTTCCAGATTTTCCGACACAGGGCATGACCTGGGAGGTCCGGTGACTGTGTAGAATGTTGTTGAAATTGCCCAAAATTTTGGCCGTATCAAAAAGTCGTGGGAAAAGTAAGGGGACCTCATTTTTGGATGTTTCCAGCCTCCCTGAGTCCGAATCTGAAGTCAGTTTCCCGCCAAAAAATCTCGTTCGATCAGAAATCAATTTGTTGCCTTTGCTTGTCCGGGACTGTAGTACATACACTGTACAAAGTGTATAGCAGAATCACTGCTGATTGCATCGAGCTACTAATACATACAAAGCCAGACAAGCCCCATGCAATGGGGTACACGAGTAATCTACTGCGGTGCAGGCTATGATATGTTTCGGTTTGCGACAGTAGGGTATATGGTATCATGCGTCTAGCGCAGAGTGCAAACGGTCAACGCTGGGATCCAAGAAAGGCGGGGTTACGGATGGAGAGAGGGGGTGAAGATTAGGAGGCCGTCGTCGAGAGGCCTGCCGGGGACGGGATATGAGGGGTGAGCAAGGGTATCTTGTGGTGTGGGTGGGTGGGGTTTATGTCGGAAAATTGGGGAGAAACACGGACAACAAGGCGCCGCGAGGTCACGTTAGTACACATTCGACCACGAAACGCACTCATCGCGCGACGAGAACCCCGGGCCCGCATCGAGCTGAATCGACACGCCCAGGCTGGACACGCGCATGGGCCGCTCTGCGCGGAGCCCCTTCACGGGCTTGAGGAACGCCCACGCCGGCACCGCGCCCATCTCGACCTCGCCGGGGTTGAACACGCTGCTGCGGCCGACGACGCACCACCCGTCGTCGAAGCTCTGCACGACGGTGAGCTGCTCGCCGAGCGCGACGACGAGCTCGTCGGGGAGCACGGGGTCGAACGTCTGGCGGACCTTGCGCTGCGCGGAGTCGCCCGCGAAGGAGAGCGAGGAGGCGGTGGAGAGGCGATTGCTGCCGACGCTCATGATGGAGTGGCGCGCGACGGAGAGGAAGGAGCCGACGGAGGAGCGGCGGGAGGCGCCGTCGTGCGTGGGGGAAGGGGGCGTGAGGTGGGGCGCGTTGAGCGCGAAGGAGAAGGGGCGGAACGGCTTGGGCATGGAACCGCTCGAGGAGTAGTAGTCGAGGATCTCGTCGCGCGACGCGTCGGGCCGTATCGTCTTTGCGGGCATAACGACGTTCTTAGCGGCCAGATTATTTCTGGAGAATGTTTCGCCATGGATGCCGACTAGAATGCTACGGACTCGATGTCAGTGCTGGTGCTGGGCAGAGGATAGCACGGCCCTTACCTCGGCGGAGGCTCTTTATCTTCCTTCTCCTCGACAATCCCGCGGACGTTGAGGAACGCTGCACCGCGGTTCTCCTCTCTCTGCTTCTTCGATCGTTTCCGGATAAATCGCAGGCCAAAATAGGCGGCGAGACCGAGAACGATGACTCCAGCTATCACGAAACCAGCGATAATAATCCCCATATTGGAGGAACTAAGGCTGCTGGACGTCTCATCGTCGCGCGGAACGAGTACAGAGGGAGGCATGTCGGGTGGGGAAGAGGGGGACGTCGTGGAGGCCGAAACGAGCGTGTATTGTAAAAGAGCGAGAGGGTATGTACTGGAATCTCAGCCGGCGCAAACGAACGCAGGAAAAGTCCCGCTAATAGCGACGCTACTAGTCGTGGCCGCGGGGATGGCGGGGCGGGCCACTGGGACGGAGGTGTGTGAGGGAGGCAGCGGTTGATAGCGTCCCATTTTACCTGTCGCAACCAGCGACGTCGGAGCACTCGGCGCTCGTCCGCGGTGTCCCATCGCGTGCGCCACGTGCTTCAGTAGGCCTCCGAGCCGGGCTTCTTCCGTTGCCACGGGGATCTCAGATAATCTTAGCCGTTTATTTTTAGCTTGGCATTCACCATGCACACAACTCCAAGACGACGTTCGCTGCATATGTTCCAAATGATTAGGTAGCAATAAATAACAAGTCAATGGTTCGAATAACAATAACACAGGCTGGTCGGATTCAAGCCAACCGCGGCGAACAGGCAAAGAAAGGTAGGGCGGGGGTGGGGCAAGGTAATCAGGAATAGATGCCAGATCGTTTCCTGCTTCGGGGGGAGGAAACGAAGCGACGGTGGTACAGGTCGTACACGATCAGACTGTCCATGGTAGAGTCGGCATCCTACTCGTTGTGAGTCACAGTCGACGTTCCCGGAGGCAGCGGGAACTGCCCGACACTCATCACCTCCTCGTCCCCGTACGTAGAGGTCGACATCATAGACGGCTGCGCCGACACGCGCAGCTCCTTGTGCAGATCCGGCACGCCCGGCTCCTCCTCCGTGGGCAAATCGAGCGCCGCGATGAGCGAGCGCATCGCGCGGTGCGTGGTGTACGTGACGGAGCTGCGCGCGGTCATCACGCTGTCCGCGTTGCGCGTCGTGCGCTTCGTGACCGCCTTCGGCGGCGTCTGCACGGTGCCGTTCTCGTCCGCGAACGGATTCGCCGCGCTCGTGCTGCTGACGCGCAGGCTCTTGCTCCGCGGCCGCGCGTCCTGGGCGCCGAAGAAGGGGTTGTTGACGCTCTTTCTGCGCTGCACGGGCTCATCATCGAACGGATTCGAGACTTCCAGGTCCTCCGGGCGGACGACCTCGGCCGACTCCCATTTGTGGTTCTGAGCGTGCGATACGGTGGTCGGAGGGGTGGGAATAGCGAGATCTTTGACGGGCGACATGGCACCCCCATTCGACATGCGCAGAGACCGCATAGACAAGAACGAGTCGTCGCCAACCGTTTCCCCGTCCCACGAGACCGTCGGCGTGCTCTCCGCGCGGCCCATGAACTTCCGCGGGGGCGCGCCCGCGCCGGACAGCTCCTCCGCGAGCCCGGGGTAGTACGAGGAGACGGGCACCGGCGGGAGCTCGTACTCGCTCGCGGACTTCTCCGACGCGCGCGTGCGGATGCTCGGCGACTTTTTGAACATGTTAAACTTCTCCTCCTCGCCGACCTCGCGCGTCTCGGGCCGCGCGGTCTGGCCCTCCCAGCGGTCCTCGTCGTCGCCGAGGCGCGCCCACGGCTCGAGGCGCGAGCGCCGCCGGTCGCTGTCGCCGCTGATGTTGCGCGCGCCGCGGCGCTTCGCGTCCTTCTCGCGCTTGCCGCACCAGAGGACGAGGCAGATGAGCAGGCCGAGCGCGGCGAAGGCGCCGATGCACGCGCCGACGACGGTGCCGATGGGGATCTGGTTGTCGGTGTCGGAGGCGGGGGCGGCAGCGGCGGCGCTGGTGGATGCGGGGGGCGGCGCGGTGGAGGACGTGGCCTTGGGCGAGGGCGTGACAGTGATCGTGGGGAGCTGCGCGGGGACGTCGGCTGCGGCCGTGGACGCAGAGGAGTCTACGACGAGGCTGCCTGTCGCAGCCTGTGTGTCAATGGCTATGGTGGTGCCAGCGGTGTTGATGCCCACCGCAGCGGAGAGCGACGGGACTTGACGGCGGTGTGGGTATAGTGGCCTGATAGGCATGGTTCAAGCCAGGCGATGGGGCGGCGGGGGTAACGAATGATGGTGGATAAAAGAGCGTATAAAAGCAACCCGGGCTTGCAAGACAGAAGGGAACTGATTGTAGGGGGAAGACTGGAACAGAGGCGGCAGTTCAGCAACGGACGGCGGGCGAGGTGATTGTGAATCGTGATGCATGATTCGGGTACTCACTGGTCAGGAGAGCCTATCGCATCCAACGCGAAATGTGCGAGACGTGCTTGTGGCCTGCCTGGGGCATCCGCCAACTGACTTGTCGTTCTCGGCGCCGTCAAAGGGCGGCGTATGCGATGGAGAAGATGGACGGCGGCGGGAGCGTTACCAGCTGTTGCCACATCAAACCATATTTCCCTTTTTCGGTCAGAACATGAAACATCATCCCACGACATAACGTGGGAACCCCCTCGAACCCGGTTCCGGTCCTCCTTCCGATGGTGGCACGCACAGTGCAGTCATGACTTGACGTTTTCTGCCTTGGTCGTCCCCCACTCTTGTAATATTGTCTTTGCTGCATGTTTATGGCCCGCTTGGAGACTCGAATGAGGAGTGTTTGGAATGTTTTAAGTATAGCGATGGAAGACGTTGACATATCTTGCGGGACTGATAGGACCAAGCCGAATCCGAGCTAAGCCCTATGGAAAGTCTCTTTACTTCAAGTTTGTCTGGCTGGCTGTGCGAAGCGCCTAACCCACGGTGTCTCCAAAACGTCAAAGGAGCGGGTGTACATGTGATGCGCCGGGAAAGCTTTTGTAGCTCCCCCTTACGTGGCAATGCGGATTGCATTCATGTCCTCGTCCCAGCAGCTAGTACCGGAGCCTCCGACATTGGGTGACATTGGACTGCATACCGTGATTTGCATCCTGGTATGCTGCGCTGGCTTCGACCCGCGAACAGAACCTTGGCCGGCCAGGTTCAAATGGACTTCATCTCGACATTCAGGCGGATAATTATTTTCGTGCAAGATACGGCGCTCCATCCTTTTACTAACAGGTCGTATAGAAGACCCACGGCTTCGGATTAGGTTATCTTTGGATATCTGCTCTTCTCATGCTACTGCCACGGCCCTAGGACTTGTTTTGAAGTTCTTCCTATGTCTTCTAGGAACCGGGATATCTGGCATTATCACTATGTCCCAGAAAACCACTAGTCGTGCTTCCAGTCTGTGGTCCCTACCACCACTACTATAGCCTTACTTGCTGGAAGTTTTGTTACCGGAAGGCTTACCGCAAACCCGCGACCAGTCGCGGCTCCCTATCAGCACTGTGGACGGTGGATGCCTAGGGCTATTACCTGCGCCACTTGCGGGAAACGTCTTTTAGAAGGCTCATGCCATGGTAAGATAATGGCTGGGCGAGTCTTACGGCGGGACCTCCCTGCCTACGACTGTGGCACTTCTGATGCGCTGAAGTAGGGGTCGTCGTTGGCGCTCGCACGGAATTCCAGGATACATATGCTACCACAATAGACACGATGGCACTCGTGACGCGGTGCGCTGGAATACGCTTAAAGTCAATCCTTTTATCGTACTATGGTGATAGTTCCCTGTTCTCATTCGGCAGGCTGCTATACCATACCGAGGTAAATAAAACATTCGAATGAACTCAAGCCGGCAGATGGGATAATTCTGTAGGAGAGTCACGGCTCATGGTGCTTGCGTCGGTACGTTTTGGGGCTCCTGCGGAAACTGGCCATGGGTTTCCCGGTAACGCACTAGTACTAGAGTTGCTTGGGGCGATTGTCTTCATTCTAAGCGCCCGCTGCCAATCTCGCTTCTGTTTCACATCTGGCCGATGTGTGTGGGCGATCTACTCCGTTGAGTCTGCTACCAACAGGCCAAGGAGAGTCGTAGGTTTATAACTGGACACTTGTCCCCTCCCTATCGTACGGTCTATCCAACCGCCTTCAAGGACCGTAGGGGACCAAGATACTCAAGCTCATGACTATCTACCAGGAGCAGACCACAATCACTTGCAGGCTGCCGTCTTTACTGCGAGTGCTATACTCTTATCCTACCTCTGAAGGTGTTGCTCCTTATTCTAACGCAGGCTAGCCGCGGCTCTCCCAACATGTTCTATGGAATGGCCCCGAGGGCTTCTCGAGTTCTGCTCTCATAACTGCGGGGCAACCGTCTTCGAGACCCATACCATTGCGGCATGGACACGAGGATGATCCTGGTTCTCGTGTTCCTCAATCGCAAGGCCGCACTGTGCTGATCACTCGGCTCGAGGTGTATAAGGCCCAGCACCCGCTCACGAACAGGTCCTTCTGCTTGGGCGACACTTTCGTCTCACTTCTCGCCCGCCGTGAATGCCTGGCAGCACATCTTCTGGCTCTACTTGTACTATGGAAACCTCACCCTCACCCTCGGCTGTTATTGCACATTCGTCTGAAGATATAGAGAAATCCCGTATCTCATCGTCCAAGGAGGTGCATGTACCACCGAGTCTGAATGCCGAGGCTCCCCGGAAACCCATCGGTGATACTTCGGAGACGACGCTCAAGTCTGAAGAAAGCTTCACTGCATGCGCAGAGGATATCCCTAAAATGGAGCTTCAACTGGTCTCTGAAAAGGCAGAGAGTTTATCAGAGAAGCTCACGATCGCGAATTCAAGCAAATTAAGGTATGTCTATCTATAACAATCCTTTCCTTCGATATTCGCGCATCCTCCCAACTTAACGTGTTAATCTCCGTGCAGCACGCGAGACCGCTGGCGTCTCTCCGCCGCATGTCTCCTCTCCTACCTGCTAGGCATCCAAGACTCCGCCCTAGGCGCGCTGATCCCCTCCATTGAGGAATATTACCACATCGGATATGCCCTAGTGGCCATCTTATTCATGACCACGGCGATAGGCTTCGTGCTCGCCTCTTTCGTCGCGCAGCCAGCCCACAGCCGTTTCGGCAGATCTGCCTGTCTTGTCCTGGGGAATGGGATAATGACCGTAGGATACGTCATATGGACGGTGTGCCCGCGCGAGTATGGCCCGCTGGTAATTGCTCCACTGCTCATCGGGGCGGGGGAGGCATGGCTCTTGGCTCAGATCAATCTCTTTGCCAGCACAACGCCTAATCCGACCGTGTATAATGGGTATGTCGGATGGATGTTACAAGGTCTGCGTGAATGACATGTCTGATTTGCAGTTATGTCCATGGCTGCTACGGGATTGGCGGAGTCTCCGGTCCTCTTATTGCCACCGCTATGGTTTCGAAGGGAATAAAGTGGTCCAACTTCTACTTCATCCCTCTAGGACTATCTGTCTGGAACGGCGTTTTCAGTGGTATCGTATTCCGAGAACCAAAGATGCGGACAGAGCGATCGTCAAGACAGAAAAAATCAAATATTATGCTAGAGACCCTTCGCGATAAAACTACGCTCATCACCGCCCTCTTCATGTTCGCGTACTCGGGCTCGGAAGTGAGCTTGGCCGGGTGGATAGTGACCTTCCTAATCAATACCAGAGGCGGCGACCCGAGCAAGATGGGGTACGCCGAGTCTGGCTTCTGGGGCGGCATCACCGTCGGCCGTTTCGTCGTCAGCCACTTGTGTTTCAAGTACGGCGAGCGGAAAGCGGTGTTCGCGCTACTGGGAGGAGCGATTGCTCTGGAGGCCATAGGGTGGGCTGTCCCGAGTGTCATCCCTGACACCGTTGCGATTGCGCTTGTCGGCGTCCTCCTGGGTGTAAGTCAAGTCCCTTGTGTCATTCGCTGCCGGACCCTGACGGAGTATATGCGCAGCCGATATATCCTTGCACTATGTCAGTCGTCACGAGGATACTCCCCAAGCACCTCCACGTCTCGAGTCTATCACTTATATCAGCTCTCGGTTCGTCGGGTGGTGCGGCCGTACCCTTCACCGTGGGTATCATTGCACAATTCAAAGGGCCCTATGTTGTTCATCCTACCGCCATCGTCGCCTTTGCACTCATGGAGATTTCGTGGTTCATACTCACTAGAGGACAGACGTTACAGTCATGAGCAAGCATCCTGTCGTTATTATGCCGTAAACGAGTGGGGCACGTCTCGAAAAACAATCCTATAGACACCTTTCAAGTATATTAGAAAACACTATTGCTACTACTGGTACACGATGCTCAGCGAACAAGGAACCTAGCCCAAAACAATACAGGATTCCAAAGTCATTAATACATTTTAGAGCGCCCAAGAGGATTGTCGGGCAGAAGCGGCCTAACGGACGGAGGGTGAAGCAAGCACGGAAGCTTCGAGACTTCAAAATAAGGCTCCTACGTGATGGGTCTGATACTGCTGTTGCACCGCAGGATTTGGATCGTAATCATATTGCCCCATCCAACTGAATGCTACAGCAGGCGCGCAAGTGAGTATCAGAAAATGATTCCCGTACGATCAGGGCTTACGGTCATTATTGAACAAGTTTGACTGATCCAACGATTGCATCGATTGCATTAGTTCCTCATCTCCCGGCAGTGGAGGCTGGAACATGTCGGTGAAATTCATGCCCAGCATGCTAGCATCGGTGCCGTTCGCGGGCCTCGACACGAAAGGATCCACACCATTCGCAGCGGGGGCGAACTGGTTGAACGACAGAGCCTCGCTCGAGGGTTGCGGGGACATAGAGTATCCAGAACCCGGGGAAGTGTGGGTAGACTGAGAGGTATCGTATACCGGTTCGATATTCTCCGAGCTACCCGATCCATCGTGTGCCCTTTGCGAGCGGGCTGAGCGGTGGCGTTTCAGATCCGTGTTCTGGTCCACCTGGGCAATGGGTGTCGCCAGCAGACCCTTCAGGAATCGCGAGTACAACTTTGGTCCGTGGCGGTCATCGATGGATACTTCCGGTGATCCCAACAGATCAATGACTTTCTGCACGAGACGCCGTATCTCAACCCGCTGATCCCGGGTGAGGTAGGAGGCAAACTTCGGTTGAAGTAGCTGGAGAAATATCAGCCTATGAGAATCACAGTAGTAACCAAATCCAAAGCACCCACCTTGACTAAGAAAGAGGAGGCGAAGGTTACGAATACACTCTGTGCTTCGGGTCCATGTCGGAGATAAATCCCTGCGCACTGCATCAGCACTGGCGTACTATCAAGGCACATGTTACGTACTTTGAGCAGGTACTCCAACATCATCTACCATAGCAGTCACTACGTCAGAGGCAGCTTTGAAGCACTTGAGCGGAATACATGAGCACCGCGCAATTGAGACAATCGAGCAAGTCTGCTTACTCTGATTAAGAACGGGTTATCTTCCGTGTGGCCCTTGCCAAACGAATGCTGGAATCCATAGGACAGTGCAACTAGTCTGGCATAGCTGTATGCTAACTTCAGCAATCCAGAGCGGAAGCGGATCTGGGGATCGCTCAGGTCTTGCTGGTCAATGCACGCAAACCATCGCTCGCCCAGGCTCTTCAACTCTTCGTCCGTCTGCGTCGCAATGGCCTCGAAGTCGAGATCCTTGGCCCGAATCAGCCAAATGCGGGACTATAGAGAGACATAATCACACACCGTACGCAGCCCAGTGGGATGATTCGGGTTACTGTATATTTCCGCCACGAACTTCGCCATCGTCTTCAGCTCCGCATTGTATCCGCAAATGTGCACATCAAACCCCGGCATATTATACGGCGAGCTATGCCACCACGACTCCGAATGGTTCGCTACAAAATCCGTATTTTTGATGATCGGACTCTTACCGTACTGCGAGCTCGTCGAGCGGTCCACGTTGAAGCAGTTCAGCCACACTCGGGTGCGGTTCAGGAGCTCGCGCGCGTGCTGCTCGTTCTTCGGTTTCGCGGTGGTTGGGTGGTGCAGGTTGAGATCCGTGGCGATGCGGATCGCAAGCCCGAGGTAGATCCAACTGCGGTCGTCTTCCCAGCGTCGCGTAGGGACTGGGTAAAGGCTCATGAGGATGAAGCCTTGGACCATCTCGACGTTCTTCTGCCCTCGCGTGAGAGCATCGCCGGCGGCGCATCGTGCATACTCCATAGCCATGGGGTACAGATCGGGACGCTCGGGGTAGAAGCGCGAGGCAATGGCGCATACTACAGCAGATGCCTGAGTTTCCGCAGTCGGATGGAGGTACGGGGTAGTACTTACTGACAGTAAAGAGGAAGGGGGAGCGGACGTATGTCTTCTGCGCGGTATATAACTCTGGGTCCAAGAGCGACACCGACAGGTTTATGTAGTCGTAATATCTGTCAAAACCAAGTTAACGCACAATTATCCCTGATTCACAAATGCGATGACGAGATTCGTACAGCTTGAATAACTTGTCCACTTCCTCGAGGGTGACGATCCCCCTAGCTAAGATCGGAGCTGCTTGAGCCAACTGCTTGTCAGCTAAGACCCTTTTCGAATCAACCGCAGGACCTTTATTTTCCGTTAGGGAACTTCAGTAAGCCAATTGCAAGTACTACTCACTCGGCCTGAAAAAGTTCTCGTTGGCCAACCCGAGTTCGGTCTCTTCTATGGCTTCGGCCTCTTGGACCGGCAAAACCCTCTGCTCTTCCGGACTGGACGGACCTTCGTCGCTATTCCTCTTCTTTCCCTTCCTCTTGGTCTCCAACGACAATTTAGCCATCAATCCAAAGGGCGCCGCCTCAGGGGGCATTGTCGCGAGCTTCTCTGTCGGAGACGACTCGTCCACAAGAGTCGCGTACTCCGTCTCGTCCTCGTCCTCGTCCTCATCCTCCCAGTCCTCCCCCTCCTCCAGCTCGCCGTCGAAGACCAGCCCGCGCACCAGGCCCGCGCCGCCCAGCCCGATGAGTCCGTCAAACTTCGCGATGCTCTCCCGAGCATTGTTGATCCACTCCTGCACGTCCGGCCCTGCTTCCTGCGGCGCCTGTTCCGAATCCGACGAGATGGAGAAGGTGGGCGAGCGGAAGGGTGCCGAGGAGGGGGAGGTCGAGGCGGACGGCGAGGTTGCCGCTGAGCGCTGGCGCTTGTTGGAGGCTTCGAGCTGCTCGATGAGGCGCTGGATCTGCGCGGCTTGGTCTTGGATCTGTTTGATCAGGTGCTCGCGTTTTCTTTTGTTCCGCGAGAAACGGTGGATAAGCTTGGACTTCGAACTATGATAAATAAGGTTGACCGACGTACGGTGGTGGTCGGCGTTTCTTCCTGCCTGGGATGATGCATTCTTGCCCGGCGTTGCTACACCGTCGACAGGTGTCGGTACCTGCCATGAACTCGCATCTGACCTATATGCAGGATCGCAGAATCAGTATCGCAAGACGAGCTGCATATATGCTAACGCAGGGCGACCTTCAAGCCTTTGCAGCGGCTGCATGCCCCGAGACTGCGATCATACCATTTGAGCTGTGTACGTATGAAGACAGTCGGCGACGGATACTTACGGCTTGTGACGCAATTCCTCTTCGCGATCTTCCTCCTCTTCGTCTCTCTTCACCCTCTTCAGGTTGTTGCTGAGACCTATCCCGGCGTGCTGCGCGGCTTCAAAGTCATAGCCATTAGTCATCCCGCTGTTTAGATTCAGGGTGGGTGGCAATGCGGTGGGCGAGGTGGTGGCCCACGCAGATGGTGAGCTGGGGTTTGAAGGGCGCTGCGGGTAACCTTGTTGATAGCCGGAGAGATGGAGGAACTGCTGCGATGGATAAACTGTCGGGTCGAGATTCGGGCTGCTGCCCGTCATATTCTGGGATGACGGTGCTTGAGAAGTGGGTGTGTTAGTGAAGAGATTTTGATGGTTATGCTGCTGGAATCCAGCATCCGACAGGCTGCCTATGCTGTTTTGTGTCGTATACGGCCCATTCTGATGAGTGGTTGTCCCTAGTTGCATTGGCTGCTGCTGCTGCTGCTGCTGATATGGAAAGTAGGATTGGCCGTTCATCGCGGAGCCGAACGGAAACGTCGACTGCCCTGGCGCCATCGAAACCTGCTGGCCTTGAGGCCTCCGTTGGCGCTGGTCGAAGGCAGACATGATGGTGGTAAGGACCAGAAACGATCTCGCTTAGACGTTCTGCCAGTCTAAGGACGGATCCGAGCTGTGAGAAATGTTTGGTCCAGAAGGGATTTATTGCCGTGTATTGGCGCCACACAGCAAAAAGGGCTACAGGCAAACACGTCCGCGATTTATAGACTCTGGGCTTCCCTTACGGAATGGACCGCGGTATCGGGCGAGCTAAACGCCGTGTTGCTGTGCCTTGCTCTCGTCGTCGTCAGAATGGATGCCTGTCACCGAGGCAGACGGCGACCAGAGTGCATTCGGGGTTGCCAGAGGCGACGCCGACTTCAGCGTGCATTGGCAGGATTGTGCAGGGGTCAGCGTTGTATTTGAGCGGAGGCAAAATGCATGGGATAATGAAAAGCGGTGCATGCGGTGCGTATCTAGATTGGCCGACGCGAAGCACCTGCCTTTTTGGGACCACTCATCCTATGCTAAAATCTTGTGCCTTCCTCCCATAGCCTCAGGGTCTCCGAGGCAGTGTAAACGTGTAAGCGACCCATAGCGCCTCGCGATACCTACTGTCTTACTCTGAGACGACTCTCAGCTGCTGTATCGTTCGTGCTATCGATGCCTTATGTTTAGACGCTCACAAACTCACGCTTCCTATCCATATTCCATATTGGGGTCGTATCCTTTCCTGGCTATACGCATTTGTAGGTGACAATCCCGATACGAAGGCTCGATTCATCCTCGATATAGTCACTTTTGTGGGGTGACTGTGGGTGCCACATTTATTCCAACCTGTCTGTGCGTGCATCGGCCACTTGCCGGAAGCGTCTATCCCCGTATACAACGGTGACGAGCCTCGATGCGGCGTCGTAACACCACTTAAGTCTATACTCCTCTTTGACTCTGCTCATATGTTGTGAACGACGGAAGCACATGGGATGGGGGTGCGTCCCATCATCTCTGTCTATTATAGTGGGAGTTGGCAGTGATGCGCTGTGCAGTTGCTTGCACATGGTCGTTTTGCAGGGAGCTGAGTAAATCTCACAATGTCTATGTCTCTTGATTGCTCCTATGTTCTGGCTCAGCGTACTTCCACTTCCTCAGCGCTCCGTTGCCCATGGAGATTTTGGTTCTGTTCGCGAACTTCTCCCTCTACATCCTTAATATCATTACGCTGAACCAAGATTGAGTTTAATATGTGATGCAGGCGACTTCGGCGAGTCTTAATGGATACACCGTTGCTTTGCAGTCTCATACTAGACAGTCCGTTCGTCTTTCGTTCTCCGCTCTTTGCGAGTACTCCGGGGCTTACCTCGGCTTCTCTAGATAGTCCCTTTGAATGCCGCTACCGCATGGCGGTTGCCAGCCTTGTCATTTGTCTGGCGACATTTACAAATTAACTTTCCCGAAATCGAACCACCAAACATATCTCCGGAATCCAAGATCTGATCCATCACCTCTATGTCTGCCCATGGTACCTCTAGCGACGTCGGAGTCGCCCCTCGTCTGCGATCCGCACAAGAGAGTTCCGCGACGTCTGGCAGTTAACCCGCCACACTCGGGAGAGTCCGAATACACTGCGGGAGTTGCAGTCTTTAGGGCCGGGCAAAGTATTGTAGGAAAGGGAATTCCGCGGGCTCTGGTTGGCTGGAATATTCTTTGGTAGAATCTTTTTGTCCGGCCCTAAGCTGCAACTCCCGAGGACCGAGGACCGAGCGATTCCACGGATTTGGTGGCGTGGTTTCGCCTGATTTCGCATCAGTCAAAGGCAGGTTCCACGAACCACAGAAAAGCTTGGATTGTCCATGACCGGGCAGTAACACAGACAGTTTTTACATCCAGTTGGTTGATCTTTGCCTTTGCGCATGCCGGATAGGGGAGAATCGCTGGTCGTTGGAAGAGCTTCTCTCCCCGACTAATCTCCGACAGCCCCTTCGTATTCGCGGCAGACTGTTATTCCTCTACACGACTTCTATAGCTTCTGTTTCCAGTCAGTACAGTAGCGCGTTCATTATCCCCTCAGGGAAGGGCAAAGACGGGTGAGTCATACACTTTTATAATGCGGTCATATTTATAGGTACAAAGCTGCCGTTCTATACACGCAGGACCCGCCAGCCATTGCGCGTGGGGTATTTCTGGCCTTCCCCCCGCGCTTCACCGTGAGGATCCCTCGCGATAGTATGCGTTCCTTCGCGTCCCACATCCCCTCTTGCTGTCCCATTTTCATTCTTGACGCCTCGCCTACCTATCTCGGCCGCTCTGACCTATGTGTCACTTTAAGCTGATGAGGACTGCAGCTTCGTCTTTACTCGCACTCTGCCGCTTCGCCGCGGCAGTCCTCGTGGACGCGAACCCGAACCCGTCGAACAGCAGGTAGTACCACTTATCTGATACGCGTACCGCTTATCTCGCCGCAAAGGATCGTCTAACATTATCCTCCTCGTTCGTACGTACAGCGATGACCCGGTCCTGCAGTACCGCCCCGCGTTCACACGCTCCATGCCTGTGCAGATCCTGCTCACGGGCATCATCTTCACGCTCGCCGCGATCCTGCTCATCCAGCTGCTCTTCACCGCGCGGTACCACTGGCAGCTCTCGCCGGGAAACTATGTCCTCCAGGTGACGGGCGTGATTAGTCTGGGCAGTTCGTTGGTGGCGTCAATGTATAAGATCCTGACGGTGACGGCGGAGGAGAGCCAGGAGTGGCCGTACATGTTGTCGTATATTGCTGTCGACATCCCGCCGCTGCATAATAGAGGGAGCTGGGCGACAGCGGAACTTACGGGATGGTTAGTGATGAACGGGATCATCTCTGCGCTTATTCAGGTTCGTTCCATTCTTGTTTGCCATGACTGGTGCAGGTCTTGACCGCGCACATAGATGGTGCATGTGCATTTTCTCACTCTGCTCTTCCCAAGCAAGCTGGTGAAGAATTTGATATTTATCCTCTTGGGTATATCCGATGATTTTTACTACGAGTGAGAGCTAACCAGCATCCCTTAGTTCCCCCTACCATCCTGCACGGCGTAGTCCAAGTCCTACCGGTATGGACGAACCCCACAATTGTCTCCATGTCGCACTACCTCGCCAACATTTGCAGCGCAACGCTCGCCCTCCTCTTCACGCTCATGCTGCTCTACTGGGCCTTCATTTCGAACCGAAAGAACGCGTGGCGCACGGAGGGCGGGACGGCGGCGTTCGGCGTTGCGGCAATGTTGCTCAGCATCATCATGACAATCATGACGTTCGTGTACATCCCGACGAAGGACCAATACGAGTGGTACCCGGAACTGGTACATGCGATCATGATGTGGCAGAGCTACTTGGGGTGGTGGTGGTGGGCCGGGTCGCGGGCGCCTTATCTCGTGAATGGATTTGCGGAGCCGAAATCAAAGAAAGGGGGCCCGCGAGCCACGCGGGCTGCTCAACCTCTGAAAAAGGGGAATGGGAGGCCGATCAGAACGAGTACGGTTGGATTTCTCGGACGATTGGACCATAGTCTCAGACGAAGGACTAATGCAGGAGATGGGGGCGTAGCGAGCTTACTGATGCGCGAAGTCAAGCTCAAACCGGAGTGAATGATGGGTAAGGACCTGGGGATTACAATAGGCTTTTTCTGACGGTCAAAAACTGTAGACAACGAACTCCTGGTACTCATATGGAACAGAAACACCGGTGACCAAGGACTCGGGTGGCCCAGTGAGGGCCGGTGACATGAATGTGTTCTCGGCAAAGGGAGACAACAGGGCCGTTTACGGGGTATCTTGTGCAAGTAGGATGTATCTTTATTGTACTGTATCAAAGAGCGGTAGTTGTGTATCACTTCGTATACTGTAGTAGCATCCATGTATCCATCATCCCGTGAACATCCAGCTGACTGTTATTCGTCGCTAAGTCCGAGTCTAATGGGTACTGGCTGCTGACACGGATATTCAAACCCCGGGAGCTGTGAGGAGTTGTCCCTAGTTGTGGCTGCGACGCGACGTGCCTGGAGCACGTGACACAACCAGCCACCTTCTCCTACATGAGAGTCGGCAACGCCTGCCAGCCAAATGTCCGTGTGACCGTGATTGTCACACGCCCATCATTTCGCGCCGTTCTCCTCTGCCAGCCTCGGACTGAATGATCTATTCCTGCACGATAAAGAGAAACTTTGATACTTTATACAGCTGTTATAATATCTACAGTAGTATTGATGTCATATATGCAGTAAAGAGAATTATTAAACAGCTAAAAAGCGCAATATGGTAATCATGAATTAGTATTCTTCTTCCCCTGAGTCCTCATACCCTGGGTCTGTATTATCTGTGGAAGCTGCCATAAAATTAAAAGGATAGCCTTCGAATACCTCTTAACTGTTTTGATTAGAGCATTAATCTTGTCCGCCTTCTTGGTTACTTTTGACTTGATGGGGACCAGCCTCTTGTCCTTACAGTGCTTTGCATAAAAGTCCGGAAACCGCGATTCGCGAAATGTTGTTTGTGCCAGCCAAACAAACCTATATGGGGTAGTCGATCACCGTAGCGCGGGCTGTTGGCGGGACGCTTCGACATCCATGTATCATTGTATGAGGGTCGTTCTTGGGGGATTTTGACCTCTGCGTGCTCGATATCCTGAAGAGATACAGATCTGAACGTTATTCAGCCTTGAGACGGGCATTTGTGTCCCAGGAGTAATATAGGCTGACTCGAGGACCGTCGCGCCCTCGGTCAGGTGTTACCCTATAAGGTATTGTTTGTCTGGGACAAACAGAAACGCGCGAAACGCAGTTTCCGGACTTTTATGCAAAGCACTGTAGCTATCCCTGCCTTGATCTCCATTTGCCGGTGCTTCCAGAAGGGACGTGTTCTATCAAAACGCGTCGAAAACGCGTCAATGGACGCGTCTCGGCAAATGCCGACTATGGCTATCTGGTGTGTGTTGCGTGTGGTGCACTTTTCTCGCTCAGGATCACACTTTAATTAGAATAAAAATCGGAATATATTCTTTTAAATGTGTATGACTCCATCCTTCCAGTTAAAATTCTCGATTTGTGTCCCTCTCCTGGTTAACCTATCACCTCAGCCCTCTGAACTTGGTCTTATAGCACTTACAAGGCAGTGTATCAAAAATTGAACTGGAAGGATGGATTCTATATAACGTCAAAGAATATCCAAAGATTTGTTCGCTATTTTAGAATGTCTCCTCGTCCCGAAAAGTGCACCACAAGCTGTAACCAGCATTTCGCTCGTGTGGCTGAAGCGTGACGCGCGCGGCGGAGTTCGAATTTGGCAGGCGTTGCCGACTCCCATCCTACAGGCTTCGATGTTCTTTATCTTCGCTTCTGCCAGCTGCTGTCACTGTAATGTCGGTGCCGGCCGGGGTTCAACGTAGCTGAGGAGGTCTTCCATGCATGTATTCACACAACTCTCCAAACCTTGCTACTCCGGCCGACATTTCACAGCTGGGCACCTATCAAATGAGGTAGTCCAGCACCTTGAGATCGGTTTTTCCCGGTGCAGTACGTTCCATTACCTTCATTCTCATTCACGGCACGACTTGAATGTGTTCTAGGACTCACTCGTACTATGTCGACAAGTACCAGCTATTACGACGGTCTGCCCTCAGGGGTCGAGTAAGTATCCTACCCGTTTGCATCGTCTTCTTGAAGAAATCCATTGGATACGAATCCGACGGGCCTCTGTGCTATTTTGGTTACGTTGTGGTTGTTTGCCTCGAGCGCCCCGGGCCTCATGGCATGGCAGTATTAAAGCTTAAGGCGACTATCGAGTGATCAGTCACAGCCCTTACTCTCAAGCCCTCTACCCCTCATGCAGTCGCTTGCGCCCCGTGAAAATAACCTTGGGCCACAGTCCAACCTCCGCAACCACCTCAGATTCCGGCCGTACTTCAGCTTGCCCTTTCCTGGCTACTGGCGCGAGGACGAGATGCGCCAGCACTGGTGCTTCATCGGCGAGATTGTCCAGGACGTCAGCCTGGTGCGCTTGTCCGTGAACGTGCGCGATGTAGAAGGCAACGAACTTCTCGTTGCCTTCCACACCAATGATAGGGGTGAATCCTTTCGCGCACGCTGCATGAGAGGCAGTACTTTCGTACTCTTGTATGCTAAGCAGTATAACTTCGTGTTTGGAGAACACGGGTTCCGGATTGAGGAAGAACATCTACCGTTCTTAAAGGTGAGCCCCGTCCTGTAGGCACATTTTTGGGAAGGACATGAGATGAGCAAGTCATCTGTTCTCGTCAGGTGTTCGATATCCCACTGGAGTCGCTGCTCAGGATCAATGATAAACTACACGCTGGTGCATACGCCGACCAATGCGGCTTGTGCGGGAAACAGGGAGTCAGCGCACGATGCAGTGGTTGCAGTACGGTTCTCTACTGTGGCAAAGTGCGCAGTTGCATTGCTTATAGCTAGTCTGCTGTCATGTCACTGACACTCTAGTTGCAGCGATGCCAAGTGAGTGCTTGGAAGGCTGCCGTTCCCCCAGGCGGGCACAAGGAAGAATGCAAAATTCTCCGGGCTTTAGTCTGGTTCACGCAGAGGGATTGGTCTACATTCAACGGGAAGTTTCGATTCGCTTAGAATCCACCTCCTTCCGTCCATCAAGGATTCCGACAGAGGATTATCCCTGAGGTGAAGTCCTTCGCTTCTGCTGTCCTTGCTTTTGCTAGCGTAATTGTACTGTCATCGATCGGGTTCCATGATGGTAGAGTTTTGCTAGCGAAAGTACAGCTCAGCATTGACCTCTTATATATGAACATCTGCTTCCTGCGAGTTCCAGAGTCTAAGCACGCCGCTGTAGCTTCCGCGAGACAACTCATGTACTTGTTCCCATGTTTGTTTCCATCACTGTAAGTTGGGGTAAATAATGAAGCTGTCCGACTTTAGCGGCTGTGGCCAACACGCGACGCGCCTCAACTTTAAGCACGTGACCCGGACGGCGATATATTCAATATTGCTCTCATTGTCAATGCTCAAGCGCTCAAGACTTAGATGCTCGACAACTTGAACTTGTCAGCTTGCTGTACACCGACAGAAGCTTTCTACATGTCTTACCTGAGGTCGACGTAGAACCCTTCTGTCTGCTACGCTAGTCCAGCATCGAGACCTTCTGCTTCTGTTCAACAGTCCGCGCGATGATGGCCGAAAATCTGGGCGCGCAATCCACCCTGTGTAATTATGACCGCTTCCGGTCCTACGACGATTCTCCTTGGCCGGACGAGCTCCGCTACTGGGGTGAAGTCCGCGAGCGCTGGTGCTACATTGGGGAGATCACAGAGGTCGGTACTGTACCGATAGTGAACCGCATGACTCCCGGCATGCGCGATATGGAGAAAGCCATCTGCACCGTCGTGTTCCATACCACCAACTTGGCCGACTCCTTTCGCAAGAGCTGCGTGAAGGGCAACACGTTGGTCATCTTGTACGCGAAGCAAAATCGGTTCCTGGACGGGAAGCCTGGGTTTCGGATTGAGCAGAAGGATCTCCCGTACGTCAAGGTGAGGCTGGAACTGGAGGACGGTGTTCCGGAGAGTGTTCCTGCTGACTGGACCCCGGCTCGCACGGCCGGAAGGCCTTCGACATCCCATTCGCATCCATGCTCGAGGTTAACGACAGACTAGGTCTAATGGACCGTAGTATCCTCCCGTGGTCAGTGTTGGCAGGGTCAAGCCTTGACCCCTTGTCTCGGTGACCCCGTCAAGCCGTCAAGACGGTTTGTCGGGGTTTGTCAGGACCCCTGAAAATACCGATGGAGGTTAGATACCAGAAGACCTGTTTTCCTTCATTTTTACCGGGACCGAATTTTGCCCAATTTGGCCGTTTTTAACGGGACGCGATACCAACCTAGCCATCGGGCTCCAGATTTACCGGGACCCAGGTATCCGACCTCCGGATTTTGATCCCGCTACAAGGGTTTATTTCACCCCAATTTAATCCCAATATGGCATGCTCAGCCACAATGTGCCGTATATGGGCTAATACTTGCCTAAACGGTGCAATTTCCCTTCGAATATTCATTATGGCAATTGTGGCTGCACAAGCGAGTGATTGAGGACCGGAAGAAGCCTGGTATATACCACACTGGTATCTGACCTTGGGATATTGTGCCTCACATTTACCGGGACTCAAGTATCTGGCCTCTTGGGCGCTTCTCCACTTTTTACCGCAACTGTATCTAACATACGGCCTTCAGACTCGGCTTTTTTACGGAATTGGTATCCAACCTCAATCGGTATTTTCAGGGGTCCTGGTTTGTCGAGTGGTCAAGGCGACAACGCGTGACCTTGCCAGGACACGTGCTCCAATTAATGGTCCTTGCTTAGACTGTAGTACTAGTACTAGTAGGCTTAGCGGCATTATTTCACTCGATACCTCAGTCGAACTGGTGGGCGTGGGGCAGGACAGTACAAAAGGACTTAAGGCATCGATGGCATGATGTACTAGCTAATAGTAGCTATAATTTAATAAACAATCCGTCGACCAAGAAGCAAGTGAGCCCAGCGGGCCTACACACTCACACAACGGTTAGTACTAGTATGACAATAGACTAGTAGAGCCTCCATATTCATCCCTTAGTATTCATTACCGTCTTAAACTATCAGCCATGTTTGAATACATGCAAGTCTCGATTATCTAGCGCACCGGCATCCGGGAGTAGAAAATAACCTACTCCGGGGATCACGTGCTGTCCTTGTCGGGCGTCAAGACAAACCCCGACAAAAGCAGACAAACCCCTTGTCGGGTGTCAAACCCCCCGACAAGGCCATCACTGCCCGTGGTGACATAGAGGTTTTCTGTTTGTTCTTGTTTTCCCTCCGGTTCTCCTTTACTCCAGTGATCAGGTTTGTACCAATCCCATTCCTTATTGATATCTCTCGACTGATGAAAGTTCAGCTATGCAGCGTCTTCAGATGGAGTCTCCCGCGTTGGCTACGAGACAAATGGCCGACGACGCCCTGGTGCCTGTAGTGGACGCGGCTCCGTTGTGCAACTACTGTCGACTGCTTGGTGATTGCATATCTTTCCCGCTAATACAGAGGCGGGCCTTGCTCAGTGAAATCCGGGGCTGGGGCTCATACCGTCGCAATGCGTCAAATGCCCGTGGTCATTGTAGCTGCAAAATATGAAGCTCAAAATTTGACGCTCTCCGTTCGTCTTGGTCCTTGACAAGCACTAGCGGGCTTCCTGACGTCCGACAGAGACCATTGAAAGTCTCAAAGCTGAGGTCGGCGTGTTCTTCCGCCCGGTATAATAGCCCATACCATGCCCGGTCTAGCATGTACCCGGTAACAAGGTGACTTTGCATAGGTCCTGTCCCCGGCGCCCACTCTAGAAGTGTGTGCGCTCACTCTAGAAATGTGTGCGCTTTGACCGTTGTTGATCATTGATCACCCCCTGTCCTGCTCCGAAATCCTTCGGCTTGGCTTCGCGAACATAGGAGGCCTTACATGAAGTGATCGCCAGCTGGTGACCAGCTGGGTGTGTCACATCGAGCTCTGTGTCGCTGGCTCACTGGTACTCGCTAATCAAAGTGTCGCTTGTACGGAGAGGATGCCTTGGACCGCAGTCCAACCTCCGCAATGACCATCGCTTCCGGTCGTCCACTGACTTCCCTAGATTTGTGGGCGAGACTTGCGAACATTGGTGCCTCATTGGCAAGATAGTTGCGGTGTTAGTTCCCCGGAGCCCGAGGGTGGCCTTTCAGGTGCACGATGTAATTGCTCATGCTATCACCATTGTACCGTCGCGAGCCTAGTATGGACCTATTCCCAACCGCAATTGTCACTGAAGTACTCTACATCGATGTTTATGCTACACAATCCGTGGCTCAAACGCTCTAATGCTTTGAATGAGTGTCGCTAGCTCCCGCGATATTTTCCCTAGCTCGCTTGATCTCCTCTAGGGTTATGTTGCTCCGCTCGCACATCGCTCGGAAGATGCTGTCTCTGCGGCTGAAGAGATTCATCGGCGTGTCGAACTCCTGCAAAGGTGATCCATTAGGACGGAGAAGAGGACGGGGGAATCGAGCGGATGCTTACGGCGATCAATCCAGCATCCAACACCAATATCCGGTCATATGATATGATGGTACGGAGACGATCTATAGTGGGTTTTCGTCAGCTTACTGGGCCCGATGTTTAAAGTGGCGTTGACGTACGAGCTATGCAAAGAAGCGTCCGGTCACTGAATTGCGTCTGTATTGTCTGCTGGATCTTGCTATCTGTCTCCAAGTCGACCGAAGCCCTGGAAATGCATCACCAGTTAAGGTTACTTTGCACCATGCGATACCAAGATACGCACGTTGCCTCATCCAACACCACCACTTTGCTGTCCTTGACCAATGCTCTCGCGAGACTGAGCAAAGATCGTTCACCGACACTGAGGTTGGCACCTTCGCTTTCGATCGGTGTCTCGAGTGTATATCTAGGCCCCGACTTCGCAGAGCTGCTCTCATCGGGGTCAACGAGGTACGATCTCCGGAGGGCGTCCCATAGCCGTGCGTCATCGTAGAGATCGAATGGATCGAGGTTAGAGCGGATAGTTCCTATGTCCGCTCGTCAGCAAGCTGTACCGTGTAGTCTGAGAGTTGAATATTGTACGTACCGCTGAACAACAACGGCTAATCAAGAGGAAGACAGGTTTAACACCCATCTCACGTTACTGCACTTAAGCGGATTAGCTCACATCTTGGGGAATGATAGAAATTTTTGAGCGTAGATCTTTCAAGCCTAGCGTCGATATGTCGAGGCTACGAGTATCTCGATATGAGTGCGCCCAGTTGAGATGGGGATGAATACTCACCCATCGATAATGATAGATCCGGAAGTGAGCTCGACAATCCGGAACAATGCAAGCATCAAAGACGACTTTCCAGCGCCAGTCCTAAGGAAGTGTTATTCCGGAACGTACTAGACGGACCTCGTGCAGCGTACCTTCCGACGATCCCGATCTTCTCACCTCCATGCACATTCATCGAGATGCCCTTCAATACCAAAGGGAGGCCCTTCCTATAGCTCATCTTCACGTCCCTGAACTCTATAGCACCTTCTGAGGGCCAATTCGATAGAGGCTTGCAATCCGGCTTTTCGTGGGGTGCCTCTTGCTCTATCAAGTCTCCGCGGCTGTAATGGATCACTGGCCGAGCACGACTATAAGTAGGTTTCATTAAGAAAATAACAGAGAATCGTATACCTCTCTCGACAGAGTTCATGTAATTCTGTGAAGTCCAGCATCAGTCAAAGGGTCGTTTGCCGCGACTTCAAGCCTTACCTCAGTCTCTGCTGTCTGCCGCGTAACCATACCACAGAGTTGGACCAGTGACGCTGTCAGGCACGCAGCCACAGTCAGGGGAGGTAGAAAGGACAAACAGAAAGGACTCACTGGTATAGGTGAGGACAAGGCCAATCTGGGCTGGATTGATCCCAGAAATTCCAGCCACGCACAACATGGACACCTGAGAAATGTTCAGTGACAGTACTGATCAAAGGGCAACTGTACTCACAATGAAGGTCATCATTGCTCCGCAAAAATCAAGCCGAATAGCCAGCCATCTCGATTCCAGAGTCACTTAAAACAGGACCAAACGAGGGCTTGAAGAGCACTCACCGCTGATTGGTTACAGTTAAGATTAGAGCGCGATCTTCTAAGTCGATATAGTATTTGTTATCTTTCACGAATCGAGAGAGCTCTCCGTAGCTCCTGATGGTCGGCAAGCCGGTCAACGACTCCGAAAAATGAGCGTAGAGGAACGATCGAAGAAGGGAATCTACCGATAGATAAGAGGTAACTCAAGGAACTAGTACCAGGCGCCTCACCCAATCTCTTGATCTCCAATGCACTAGCGCGATAATATTTTGCAAAGTAATTATAAAGGACGGCTATCCCAGCGGCCGCGATCACTGTGGCAGTCAAGATATATGAGCTCACATATCCCTTCAGACCAAAGTCGCGACTCACAAAAGTAAGGCTCGAGAATGGTAATAATGACTATCGATCCAAGGACACTGGCCAAGGTCAAGACAGCTGTAACATAATATTATAAGATCATAACGACCGAAAGGGATAAAATACGTACACATTCGCATGGACACTGCAAGATGGGGGCATATCAGTGGGACATGAAAATCAACGCAGGGCACTACACACCAGGCAACTGATTGTCGATAGCTTGCGGTCTGCCTTAGCATGGAAAGGACAGGAAAAGACAAAACAGGCGTACTATCGATATCCTTCCCGAAAATACTTAGAATACGACCGGTTGGCTATAGTGGGGGTTGCAGCCTGGATGAATGCTTGATTACAGTAGACAAGCGAGAAAACATACGGTGGTGTCAAAGAACGACATTGGCGCGTAAAATATATTTTGTAGGGCTTCATGATGGAGGTTCTGGGATACGTAGTAGGACATGATGTCCATGGCAATACCCCTGCATCGTAGGATGTCAAGATATGTGTCATAGTGGATGGAAGACGCTTACATGGTAAAGGTGAATATGGCCTGTGATACACCCATCATTGCGTATATTATCTGGTAGAATGAAGTAGGTCGATCAAAGTAGCTAAATCCGATATATCAGGGGATATGCCCAATGTATGCAACAATTACACTCACTTCTCCTGCCACCAGATCAAGGTATACGAGTTCAATACTTGACTACCTTGCATGAGCATGGCCGACCCGATGACCGGAAGGGCCGTCAACCACCCGCGGCCGGCCTTCAAGTATTCGAGATAAACTTCAGACGACTATGTTAGTCGAGATGCGAGTGAGAGCTGTGGGTTTGTCATACCTCCCCATGAGACAGAACCGGTTGTTCGCTTCTCTGCTACGATCAACCGTCCTTCGAGTTTGCCTGTCCCGGCCCCCGCACGTTTCGCTTGCTTCTCTGACTTGAGTTTGGCTTCTTCAACATCCATGCGGAGCGCGGGCTTTGCTTCCTCGACACCTTCCTCTGCCGATTCTTCCTCTTGCATCTCGGTAGACTCACCGCCAAACTCCTTGGCAAGCCTCGCAAATTCACCATTCGCCTCGATAAGCTGTGGGTAGGTTCCTTGCTCAACGACGCGGCCATCGTCCATCGTGTAGATGTAGTCACATTGGGACAGGAAGTGTAGGGCATGTGTAACAAGAATGACGGTCTTTCCCCGAGCTTTCAATGCACCTATGATTGCATCCGCGAATAGAGCTTTCCCGACATGGGCATCGACTAAGGCAGAAGAATAATGTACATGAATCCTGCAAGCTTAGAGTGGATAGGTAATTTGACGCACCGGCTGACAGAGGGTCGTCGAATATGACAATATCTGCGTCAAAGTAGAGAGCTCGTGCAATGTTCACCTACCGATTAGCCATCTTGATAAATTACAGGAGGCAGCCAAGGGGTATCAGTACGTACACGTTGCTTCTGACCACCGCTTAGATTGATGCCTTTCTCACCGATCTAGAGCAGTCATTGTACACTACTCACTACAGCCATTACTTCGGCACATACCTCGGTTAGGTCACCATCAGGAAGGACCTGTAAGTCGGGAAGAAGAGAAGCCTTCTCGACAGCATACCAATACCGGTCCTCGTCGAACGGTTGTCCGAACAGAATGTTATCTTTCTGGAGAACAGCAACGGAGCTTAAAATACCCGTTGAACCAGTCTAAGCGGGTACATATGACCACTCACCAGCGTAGCATTCTGGATCCAGGCACTCTGTGGACAATATGCCACCCTTCCGCCGAACGTAACTTCGCCCTTCACTTTCCTCATCTCACCCACCAAGCCTTGCAAGAAGCTTGACTGAAATACAGTAAGCGATCTCCGAGGGTCCCCTACGCGACAATGCGAGACGTGCTCACCTTCCCGCTACCTACGGGCCCCACAATAGCCGCCAGCTGGCCTCTCTCGATAGTCATATTGATATCCTTCACCTGGAACGGTTTGCCACCTTCCTTCCTCTCTTGTACCATCCCTCCTTTCTTCTTCTTATCCTTTTTCTTATCTTTCTTTCCGCCCCCACTCATGGACTCACCGGGACTGGTATTCTCCTCCCACTCGAACGTCGCGTCGAGCACTTTCACCGCGACGTCCTGGTCAGGGTCGATGACCAGCGCATCGTCCTTCCGCTGCTCAGCTTCGAATACTACGGCTAAGCGGGACAACGCGTTCTGACCATCCGTGATAGCAGTCAGCGCTCTGGGGAGGAGCATCAGCGGCTGCCTCAGTAGCTGAAAGAGTGACAACGACGAGAATATAATAGCTACGTCGAAGCCACTGCGGGTGGAAGTGTAAGCTAGGAGCGCGAGAGTAGCCGACAGCGCCGGGACGGAGAACGCGAGGGCAATATTCGCCGAGCGCGCATACTGTATCTTCTCTATCGCGTCGAGTTCCTTCTTGCGTATGCCAAATATGCGCTTCAGGAACGGGTTCTCGTACGTGAAATACTTCACCACGCGCATCGCGCCGAGGATCTCGAGCAGCAGCTTCGCGCGCATGTCCGTCCACTTCATCGAGTGCTTCCGGACATTAAACTGATAGTTCATCACGCGCTCCTGGACCGGCGCGACTATCAAGAACAGGGAAAAGCCCGCGAGCGCAGAGGGGCCGAGCTGGACAAGCAGGATGATGAGACAGATGGTGACCTGGATGGGCGCGGTGCCGGCTGCGTGGAACCATTGGGCGGCAGCGTCGATCCTGCTGACATCCGTGCTGATATGATTTACCAACGCGGCGTTGTTGAGCTTCACCCTGGCTTTACCTGTGAGGTTCACTCCCCGTTTGTAGATGGACGCCGTCAGAGCCGCTCGGGCAAGGACACCAGTAGTCATGGAACGCCAGAACCACTGGTGCTGCCCGACGCTAGCAGAGACTTGGAGACAAAACAGGCCTATCGCCATTCCGACTCCCGGCCCGATACTCGGGGGAGGCTTGCCCGCCTGAATGGCGGTGTAATGGTTCCGACCGAAAGTGATGATAGCGCGGACTACTAAAGGGCCCATGAGTTGTGAGACGTCGCCGAGAATCTACAAACCGAAGCAAGAAAGTTGATATATGCGCGTCCAAATGTATTGAGAGGAATACGCACCTTGAAAGCGCCCGCAGCCCAGAATTCCCAACCAAATGTGTCATTAAGCGACCAAGCCAGACTCGGCGCCTTCCTCCCCTCAACCTCTCTCCACCTGCGCTCCCTCTCTTCCCTGCTCATCCTCTTCCCTCCCTTGCCCGGCCTGCGAAACAGGCCCCACACCCCGGCCCACCACCACGACATCCTGAGCCAGAACGACGGGTGTATCTCTCCTCTGTCCATTCGCGCGTTCCACTCTTCCGCCTCGCGCACTCTGCGGTCCCACGACGCGTCCAGCTTCTCCGAAAGCGTCGCGGCCTCGCGCGAGCGGTCCATCTTCCACAGATCAGTCGCTTGCAGGCTGCGCTGGTACCCGAGCACCATGATGGGTGTGATCCACCAGTAGGTGAGTTTCGAAAGAATGGAAGCATTCGCGAGGGGGATGGTGGGTGCGGCGTCGAGTGAAGTCGGTGCAGGCGGGGGAGGGTCCTTCGGTCGCCTGAGTGTAAACTTCAGGTTAGGCAAGCGCCTCCTCCGCCATTATTTAAACGCTGCTCACCAGTATTGCCACCAGCTCTGGCGGATCTTGATTTTGATATTCCCCTCGTCCATGAATACTTTTGGCCCAAGCCCATCTTCGCGTGCATCGCTGCCGCCTTTCTTCTCGTCCGCACAATCCTTGGTATCCACCTGCTCGTGGTCGTCCACCGTACTAGACCCCGTCGTCGCCGTGCGCTGCATCGTCACCGGTTAGTGAAGCAGTCAGCCTAAGTCAGACCGAGCTGGTGAGAGAACAGGGGCGGACGACAGGTCCGAAGGAGTCAGTTATATACGTATCCATCCCTCCACAAAAAATGCGATAACGAGACGCGTATATTTGGATCAAAGCAGCGTGCATGACGGGCGGCACACCCAACCGGCGAGGATATCGCCCCCGCAATATCGTATGACTAAAGGCAATTAGATATGTAGAATGCCGCGGCATCTCGGCACCCCCGATATTCTCGCTGAAGTGCACGCCCGTTGCCCCAAGGTTTCCCTGAAGGTGCGAGAGTACGATGGAGGCGTGTGCGGCGTTGCGCGCAGTCAATGCCAACAGTAGGCATGTCCGAGTGAGTCGGGTACGTAGCATGTTGCGGGTCGACATCAGTTGTTCGCGTCCGGAATACCGTTTGAGTCGACTCTACAGAGTCATACCGCTGCACAATTCACAACTACACACATCGAGTACATAGCGGTCGACGCATGTTACTTTCCGCAATTGCCTCCCTGACATCTATCCCAAGCAAATAATAGATGAAGCGAACTATGCCAGAGCAGCAAATCACGGGGAGCGGACCTACAGCTTAAGCACTCGTTTCTGTTACCATTCCTGCTGGCTGTGCTAGTACCATATTTCAGGTGCTCTAGAGGTGCTATTATTCCGCATAAGTACCTTTGCAAAGACCGGTGAGGGCGTTTATAACTGGAAGGGAGTCGATGACACCCTAACCTTAGCGTCCTGTGTAGGTGGCGTTCGTGGCTCTAATTATAATCCGGAGGCAAACATAGACCGGCTGAGTTAGTTCCCCAGAAAGATCAGTATTCACAATCTGTGGTATTGAATGTATGTCGTACCAGATGTCTGTACCACTTGAGAATACGTCGTGCAGCCACGATGGATCATGGGTTGTTGAGCGCCCTTGGGTTATCCTACCTAGCCACTATTGCTACGGGTGACGCGCGACGTGTGCCGCAGCAAAACACGATGCAGTGAGATGTCTTTGGAAGGCGCCCTTCCGGTACCCACGATTCCATGGAACGCAGGTATCATGATACTGCGGGGGAATCAGAGGCGCGCGCGAGCAGAAAAACATTATATATGGATCACTGGAGGTATCCATAGCATGGAAACTATCGAGCAACAACCACCCACCACAATGACCCAGACGCCGAAACTAACCGCGTACTTCATCCCGAACCCAAAGCCAGACAGCCCAGGGACGTCGGGGTTCTGCCACAAGCTCGAAGCCTACCTGCGCGCCGTCTCGCTCCCCTATACCGTCGTCCCCGTATACCCCAATAGCGCGCCCAAGGGGAAAGTCCCGTACCTCGGCATCGACGACTTCCTCGTCGCGGACTCGCATCTCATCATCAAGCAACTCAAAGAACGTGGGATAGGGAAGGACCTGAACCGCGGGCTGACGGAGCCGCAGCAGGGCGAGTCGCGCGCATGGCAGGCGTGGGTGGAGGAAGTGGTATACCCGTGCGAGATATACGAGCGGTGGCAGGACGACGAAGGGTGGGCAGTCACAGCGGCGGAGACGTTCACGCACGTCCGCTGGCCGCTCCGACCGCTGCTCGCGTGGTACTTCCGCCGACGCACAACGAATGCGCTGTGGTACGGCGGCGTGGGGCGGCACTCACTGGCGGAGGTGTACGAGCTGGAAGAGGAGTTTGTCGGGGCACTGGAGGACAGGCTGCGCGATGGACGGGAGTATTTCCATGGTACGGGAGAGATGACGGAGGTAGATGTGGTGTTGTATGCGTTTCTTGTGCAGGGAGTTAGTCAAGGGAAGGGAAACAGGAGGTTCACGGAGCTGGTGAGGGGACGAAGGTTGGTTCGAGAGTATGCCAGGAGGTTGCTAAGCAAGTTGTTTCCGGAGTATGATGGGGTCAGGAAGATGCTGGACGGGGGTCAATAGGGTTAGGATGTTCCAGACAGTGAATTCTCAGATAGATACCAAAACTCGTTGATGAGCCTCACAGCTTGTATGAATCTCTGTCTTCACAACTTCTCATATAACAAGAATCCCTGATTGAAGAATATCATGGAAGACTTGAGCTCAGTCTTCTTCATATCAGCGTTGATATCCGCGTCCATCGTGACTTTCCTCCAATCGCGGCCTCCATGAATAATTCATGGGGGTCGCGCTGTGCTATGGGTACTTGCTTGGTTACAATCATCCATAACGCCTTGTTCCTGATTCCGCCACTAGACTTTTCTGGGCTTGTAACGGAGACAGGGACCCACCATAAAATTGGGGAAAATCATGTATATTCCCTTTAGATGGCAATAATACATGGGTGACACCTATGATCCTCGCCCCTAGCAGGGTTAGCGGCTGACACAGACGCGCTCATTCATGATGCCACAAACGCGCGCCTACCTGGCGTAGATCCTGACACCAGGGGGGGTTCGGCATCGCGATTCGCAAGCCGTGAAATCAACCACACCGACCGCCCTTAAGCGGCGGTCACGGCGTCCTGGCCTCTATTGGCTGAAGGGTGGTCCTCAGTGGCATCGCCGTAGATCAGATTATGGCGGGACTCACTCGCTCTGCTGTCTGTTGGATGTTCATAGCTGTCTGTTGCATTAGAAAAGATGTAAATGTGTCCATATCACCCGCAGCAAACTGCGAACGCATGATGCCAGTGGTGAGCCTTGCAACAGTGATGTGGTAAGATTTGTGGTTGCCTCGCGATGCGAGACCGTGATTAGTGTCTGGGAGAGGGAGGCAGACTCGGATGCATACCCTACGCCAAGCAACTCAAACTAAGTGGGTCCCGCTGCGGCGTAGTTGTGGTTGCACATGACTCGTGTTGTTCCAGCCGTTTGCAGATCGATAGACCACCAATTCAGAAAATCGCGTATGGTCGGAGTGGGTCGGAGTGGGTGCCAGGGACGTCGGAAGAAGGTGGGGAAGTCCAAATGGTCTGGTTTCCGTCTCTCGGGGACTTACAATTGCTTGTCCGACGTGGTCCGACTGTAAATGATTTTTGAAAAGTGGGCCCATCAATCTGCAAACATCTGTCACAGCCTTGGCGGCTGCGCATTTGTCTGAGCCAGTGAGCGCGAGTTCAGATCACGTCACAGCATGGTGTTAGTTCCATATTGACTTATCCTTGAGTCGCAGGTGACCACTTGATATGCCCCGGACCCTGTAAACAGTGCCTGCAGGATAGGTCTAACGGTGAAATGCGCACTAGTGGCTTTGGAGTTGTTCTCGCGAAGTCATCGTGGCTATGCGCTTTAGACGGGCTGCATGCGCGCCAACCGCAGCATCGCATATCTGCTCACTCGTGCCTATATAAACCACTATGCCCCTAGAGACTCACGACAGCACCTGCCCCTCCAGTCATCACATCAAACAAAACACCGTCTTCCCAGCAAACCCCTCTCCCATGCCTTCCACCGCATCTTCCTACGCCGCGTCTACCACCTCTTTCGATACCGCGTCTACCCTCTCGGTCGCGTCCAGCACCACCATAGCTCCTAAAGCATCCTCTCCTCAGCCATCCTCTACCGGCAAGGACCTCGCTGCTGCGTTTGGGGCGCTGCGGTCCAAGTACGGCGCATCCGGTTCCTCCCACTCTTTTTGTCTCAGGGAGAGGGTCATGCGCTCGATTCAGAAGTCCTCGGACAAGAAGAGCCCTACCGTCGCGGAGTCATCGCACACTACCATTGCCACTGACAACAAGGCAAAGACGTCCCCTCCGAAGATGTAGATGAACGCCAGGTACGCGCTTTCTCTCAGTACTAGTCAGCTCTCGAATCAAGACTTACGGAACCTCCAGATATATAAGGGCCACAGCACACAGGCAGCCAATGTATGGCGGAAATATGGAGCATAGTCGAATAGCTACACGTGATGTGGTAGTCATGCCGGAATCGTTGGAGCGAAATGGTGCAGAGTTCGTTACAATCGGAAAGCAGTCGACAGCATAATAGAAATTCGAAATGTGATATGCAAGCGACGTCTAAAACCCAAACAAAACTGCAGATCTATCGTCCCCTTACAAGCCAGCCTCGTTTTCTAGGCTTCAGCTCGTATTTGTCGAGGCCGCCACTCGTCAATAGAAGCAGCGTCATCGTCATCGTGTAAGTCTTTCAGAACAGAGTCCTCTGCCTCTCGATGCTTGCGCTTCTTCCACCATATCGTATGGATCAAAGTCAGCCGAGGGTACTCGCACCATCAGCAAAAGGCCAAGAGGCACACAAATGTAACAAGTAGCGCGACCGCGAGAAACAGCCCCGCGAAGCCCCCGATCATTGCCGCCTCGTTCGTCGAAAAGACCGACAACTCCGGGCTCGACGAACGCAAACTGCGGCTCCCGGGAGCTCGTCCTGCCTGGCGGGTTCTGCGGGTCAAAGCAGTATTGCGCGAAGCGCTGGCTGCACATGTCCGAGCGCAGTGGCACGGGCGAGAGCCTGTACCGCGCGCGACGACCGTCACGCGTTGCAGAAATTTCCCGAAGTTCGGGTGGGCGGGATCGTGTTGGCGGGGAAGCTGCCGATGGCGTTGGTCGATGAAGATGCGCCTGTGAGTGACATGGAGGCAATTTGGAACATCGGGTGCGGAATACTTGTCAGTTTGAGTTCATGCGATACGACGAGGAAGATCGACGCACTTGGTGATTGGGTTGTCCCCATTGAGAGGTAGCGAGTTCGGGAAATATGAAACTCTAGCGGATTCTGCATTTGCAGCCAAAGAACGTTAGTCCACGACTAACACTCGTAGATGTAAGGTCATCAGAATTATGGGGGATGGAACAAATCTTTGATGAGAGGCCAGCATTATTGTCGAGATCCTGCTTGAACTCGCTACTGTCGAGGATCCACTATTGAAGAGATCTTCTGTGAATTGTATATGAGTGAGATAACCATGCGCATGCACGTACTTGGGCCATAGAGTGGACTGCTGGTCGGTACTGGGAGTCAGAGTTGACGAGGCCCTCCTCGCGGACCCGTACTTCATCATCAACTTGATCAAGCGCTTCATAGACGCGTCTTTGCACACAGTGACCAAAGCACGTGATACGTGACAGCCGTCTTGGACCCGGCTACCGACGGCCCGGCCTGTGGTCGGTGTCTTTCGCGACGGTGACAACCACCAGTTCCTTCTCCGGTACGTTGCCTTCGTTCGTCCCCCTGACTTCATTGCACGATGTATCGCACTGGGTCGGGAAATGTCGTTTACGAATTACTGCGAAGGGATATCCTGCTAGAAGCCCTTTCCATCGTTGCTAGCGGCAGTGCGGACTAATGAAATCCTTCGCGTTGTGGACGGTCATTGGCGACTGCTTGACACTGAGCGGCGGCCTGCGAGCCTTGTGAGCGTTCCGTCGGATTTATTTGACGTTGAAAAAGAGCTAGGCCATCATTTGGACGACTTCTCCGTGACTGTCGCATATGGTCGTCTCGGTCAGTTGTTGTGCTTCTCTGCTTCCGCCAGCGACCTTTCCGCACCGCTGTGTCTCCCGTTCCCTAATCTGCACCGACTTCCCCAACAAAGCTCGCTTTCCTTAACCACCTGATTGGGGCCGTCCACATTCTGGACGATAATGGTTACCGCGCGGACCGCGTATGGATAGCAGCTTCTTCTACGCAAAGTCAAAACGGCTCACGAGAGCGAGCAAACCCAGTCCTTTAAGCTAGATCTTGAGTTTGGCGGATAAACTCAATGCCCTCTGCGACCGTCGCTTGTGGTCTCATCGGACCGTTGCCTTACTTCTCTGCTTTGACATTTGCATTGTCGGTACCGTCCGGGCTTGTCCCTGCATCTTTGGACGACTATCGATTCTCGTAGAGCACCTGATCCAGATCCTCTTCCAACTCAGAGGCTCCTCGCGGACCGCCCATACAGACAAACTTCGTGCTTCCTTCCTTACGGTATAGCCACCTCGATTTGAAACCACAGGTACTGTCTATAAAAAAGCCTCCGGTTGTGATTGCTTCCTCGGCGCACCTTGGCTCAGTGCTCACCAGGATGCGTCTGTACGATTCGCCCCTATGCCTCGCGCTCCTCGCGCTCCTTCCCGGTCTCGTCTTCGGACAGCTGTCGGGTAGCGTGGGCCCACTGACCAGCCGCTCAGCCAAAGCGGGCAAGAAGACATGCAACGTCCTCGACTACGACGCCAAAGCGGACAACTCGACTGACCTTGGCCCGCCCCTGCTCGCCGCCTTCAACGCGTGCAAGGCCGGCGGTGTCGGTGCGTAACGTCTGCCTTCCCCTTGCGCGCCCGCTAACATACAAGCGCATATAGTGGTCGTCCCCTCGGGCAACTACGCACTGGCGACCTGGCAGACGCTCAGCGGCGGTAACGCCTGGGCGCTGCAGCTCGACGGGATGATCTACCGCACGGGCACCGCCGGCGGGAACATGATCTTCATCGAGCACTCGACTGACTTCGAGCTGTTCAGCAGCACGTCCAAGGGCGGCGTGCAGGGCAATGGGTACACCTTCCACGCGCAGGGCTCCATCACCGGCCCACGCATCCTGCGGCTGTACGCGGTGACCTCGTTTTCCGTGCACGACATCGTCCTCGTCGACGCGCCCGCATTTCATTTCGTGATGGACACGTGCACGAACGGCGAGGTGTACAATATGGCCATACGCGGGGGCGACCATGGAGGCCTGGATGGGGTCGACGTGTGGGGCACGAATATATGGATTCATGATGTGGAGGTGACGAACAAGGACGAATGCGTGACGGTGAAGAGTCCTGCCAGCCATATACTTGTCGAAGATATCTACTGTAATTGGAGCGGCGGGTGTGCCATTGGGTCGCTCGGCACGGGCACGAATATATCCAACGTACAGTACAGGAATGTCTACACTTGGTCGTCCAACCAGATGATGATGGTAAGGCTCTCCTCCCTTTTCCAGCCCGAACTTCGCTGAAGATATATATCATGCATTTGTATCTCTATAGATCAAGTCCAACGGCGGCAGTGGGACAGTCCAATCGGTCACCTTCGAGAATTTCATCGGTCACGGGAATGCATACTCCCTGAACATTGACCAGTACTGGTCCAGCGAGTCCACGCAGGATGGCAACGGCGTGCAGCTCTCCGACATCACCTTCTCAGTGGGCTACATTTCCTATCCTATATGGCTGTTAGCATCCGGCAGCTAACTCTGGGAGTGGTAGAATTGGAAGGGCACGGAAGCATCGGGCAGCGCGCGCGGCCCGATTCGCGTCATCTGCGCCGACGGGGCTCCCTGCACTTCCATCTCCATCTCTAACTTCGCCATGTGGACCGAGTCCGGTACGCCCCCCCTTCCCCTTCTCCCGTCCCTCTTATCCCTGCCAGCCTAACGACCATCTCCCTGTAAGGCTCCTCGCAATGGTACGCTTGCCGCAGTGCCTACGGGTCCGGCTACTGTCTCCGCTCCGGCTCGTCGCACACGAGCTATGCGGCGTCCACGACGACGGTGAGCTCCGCGCCGAGCGGGTACAGCGCGCCCACGATGGCAGCGGACTTGAAGACCGCCTTTGGGTTCACGACGAGTATTCCCATCCCGACGATTCCGACGAGCTTCTATCCCGGGGCGACGCCGGTTAGTAAGTTGCTGGGGAGTTAAAGGGTAAGTGGCGAGCGCGGTAAGGGTATGGGATGGGAGGAGGGAGGGGGACGGGTTAGGTGGTGTGTTGTGTCGGGCCGTGTTTGTACCATGTTATGGGCGGAGGATTTGACCACTGGCTTTCGTGGTTTCAATATTGGCACGTCGACGAGTACGTAAGCAATACAGGCTGAAGTTACTGAGTATATCATAGGTGCACAGGAGGCCTGGGTGACGGGACCAATCGCGGTGTCCTCCTCAATGGGTCAGGTGATCTCAAGCTATGTATCAAACGTTACGCTGTTCTTCCGACCGCACACGTCAACTTAGCTTTCTCTCCCTGGATAAATGCACTATTCACGCCTAAACCGGGGTCTGTGGGCATCGTCCATGCGTGATGTGGAGCCCGTGAGTAAGAGGACAATTCACGCTCGCAGTAGAGAAGGTGAGTGTGAGGATCAACGGCCTCCCTCTGAAGAAATGCAGCGTATTTCTGGGGATTTGCCCCTCGTGCTTAGGCTGTGCGATCAAATCTCATTGGACCTCCTGTGGGATGACCCGCGTTTATCAAATAACCCCCCGTACCGCGGATCGCCACTAGAGGGTTAAAGGATGTCGCGAGACCTTTGATGTCGACTGTCCGAAGTCAAGTATGGTATGTTGCGCATTGGCTACCATCTGAGGAGACATCCAATACACTTCCGGACCCTCGTGTGGACGTCAGCTTGATCTAATGCTTCCCACTAAACGATTCTTATTCCGCTGCTTTTACGCGTTGCGGCTCGGAGGTATGTAAACCAAGCCAAATAATTATACTGATCCCGACCAAGGTGTTGAATAAGCTCTCTGACCGGTCTTGTTGACTGCAGCCTGAGCTGCATCCAGCGGCTGCCGGTAGGAAGGAGGTCCGCTTCATATGCAAGTGTTGAGCTATACTTATCTGGTCCCGAGCTCCGGAGGACACAAGGGTGAGACCATACGCTACTATTGTGGATGCCCGCATACTCTGACATCCTTCTGCTACCGTCTAAGTCTTCGTCGTCGCCTCATGGCACACAGTAGTTCCATATGACAAGTATTCGCGAACCGATCGGGTGTGCTGGCTGAGAACCGGTATGTACCTGCCTAAACTCGTGGTCAGGGGTTGAATATAGCTTCTGTTCGTTACCTTCACTGGTCGAGACGACCATCGACTCGGAATCGCTACCCCCCTCCAGAGCGTCGAAGAGCTCCCCTGGACAATCCTCCTGCCCACCTATTCAGCCTCATCTGAAATGAGCATTGACAGGTGGTGCAACCTTTGTCTTTCATGACCTCTCGAGATCTCCGAGAAGCACTCAGCTATTCATGCCCGGTTGTCGGAATATACTGGAACAACTGAACTGCCAACTTTGTATGCTCAGGTAGTGGCCCTCAGGCAAAGCTATAGGCAAATGTATTTATTCTGATTCCCCCGAGAATACCTAACAATACCATTAAGCTCATCGTCGGAATCGGACACTCGTAACATCATGATGGGGGACATTGACATCACAACACGTGCGCTCACTCATTGCCTAGTGCAACGCCTATCACTGGGTGGATCAGTAAGTAGTCTTCGAGTATTGTCGGACCTCCGCACTAGTACCCATCCGCACTAACCGTCCATGCAGGGCATTAGAAGGAATATAGGGCGAGGAGACCACGACTGGTCACACGGGAATCTGATTGATTGCCGTTAGCATTAGCAAGCTTAAGCTTAATGCTGGAGCTGGAAGCAGGAACCAACATCTTTGTTCATATACACCTTCCTTTCCCAGGTGATCGTTCACCGGCGACCTGGAGGCGGTTCTGACAGGCATACATTATGTTTAAACCAGAAGTCACTCACGAGGACCTGATAGAATAGAGGGCATTGTCACAATACCATGCTGCTCGAAAGCAGCCACATCGTGCACCAATGACCGCCTGGGAACATTCTGAAAACCGAGGGAGGAGTGTCGTCATCTCCTTCGAGGGCGAATCCCGTCCTCGCCAGCCGGGCCCGGGTCGAGCCCGCTATTCACAGAGTCGAACACCGCGCGAGAGCTATGGTGAGTGCAGTGGCATCATATGCAACAGTAGCGTCACCCTACCCTTCCCACTCCGTTCGCGAGTGCAGATGCCCTGTATGTGCGTCCGCTGTTCCGAGCCCATATTAGAACAGATTTCTGCCAAAACGTTCGGACATAAAGATCTTTCACCAAGAGCATTTTGCGGAAGCCCAAAAGCATCGGAGGGGGGGGGGCGTTGTCTTCGCGGCATTCTGGTACACCAAGTCTGCCTCGGGCGTCTTCACCTCCGAGAACAGATATACGCGTTACGGGAGCATGTATCAGCCAAGCATTTGTAGCAAGGTAGAGACGAGAACACCTGCCAATTCAAGATATCAACACCAGTTCTCAGACTTGGTATTCCGCTTCTTTCAGAACCGAACAGCTCCACTTGGGATATTGTTGAGTACTTTCTTCTGGAATGATGCAGGAATAATTCAGCTGGCGTCATGACTTTGCACATTAGCGACGTACTCGTCTGAGATTGAACTGGGACTGCATAAAAGGCGGGGCCAGAGAGTCCTTCATCCTCATCGCCCCAAAGCGAGATCGGACATCGCAAGCCCTCAGATACTAGCAGCCTCACTAACTATGCAGCTCCCTCGCATCGCATCCTTCGTCTTCGCCCTCGCCCTCGGCGCCTCCAGCGTCGTCGCTTTGCCATCCCCCAACGGCGGCAAGCGTGATGTAATTACCAGTATCGAGGGTATCCTGACCACCATGGAGGGCGATGTCACCACAGCCCTCACTGAAATCAGTGAGTTGCGAACCACGGAAGCACATTGGGTGCTCTCGCTGACCAGTCCTTGGCAGACAACCTCGTTAGCACTGGTGAGGCTACTGTTGCCTCGGTTGGAACAGAGATTAGCAACATCGTCACCACCGTCGAGACCGCCACGACTGACATCGCCAGCTTGGCTGGTGACCTCAAGAAGAGGCAGGTTGACATTGGCACCATCGTCACGGAACTTACCACCCTCATCACGGTATGAAAGGGATATTCTCCGTTTGAAGTAATCATAACAATTCTGGTGTGTAGGACCTGGCCACAACCCTCGCGAGTGTTCCGGCCTCGACTCTATCTGAAGTTACCGGCACTGTGACGTCCCTCGACACCGCTCTTACCGGCCTCTTGACCTCCGTGAACACCGAGGCTACTGGAGTCCTCTCTAGCGTCGCCAGCACGTCAGTGGACGGCACATTTATTGTTGAACCCATGTACTCATAGCACATTGTGACAGCATCACGTCCACGATCACTAGCACCCTGAGCGGTCTCGGTCTTGGCTCCGTCGTCGGTACCCTGGGCTTGTAATTCGTGAGTTGAAAAATAAAAAACAAACACTGTCCAAGGAGCTAGCTAACGCCCACGTCCCCGATAGGCGTTTGGTGAAATACGACGATCGATGTAGCTTGATGAGGTTGCAACCCACATATCGAGTTGGCAGATGTTGCTTTGGATATGGACATTTCGTTTTTCTGCTTGTTGATTGTGACTCTGTTTATACCTTTATTAGCTTGTCCCAATTCAGTCATTGAACGCGTTCAAGCTATTATCGCTGTCGAAGTCTGGGAAAGGCTGTGCTCTGAGCGAGTCGCAAGGATGGTCCAACCCTCCGGTTCGTGCAAGGGGTCTGAGCAGCAGAGTATTGCAAATCACAGCATGAGAAGTCACAAAGAATAATACCGCCGGTGTTGATTGATGAGTCCCGGAACTTTAGGCAAGCGGTGACAGCCATTTGCAGATCGATGGGCCCACTTTCTGAAAATCATTTACAGTCGGACCACGTCGGACAAGCAATTTCAAGTCCCCGAGAGACAGAAAACGGACTATCTGGACTTCTCTACCTTCTTCCGACGTCCCTGGAACCCACTCCGACCCACTCCGACTATACGTGGTTTTCTGAATTGATGGTCTATCGATCTGCAAGCGGCTGGAATATTAGTGTACGATTCACCGGCGTCTCCGGTGCATCACCTGTGCCAAATTGAGACATGGTTTTTCTCGGAATCGTCTGCGCAGGTTAGGAACCTGCAAATTGGGGGGAGACGACGTAGCGGAAGATGAACGTTAGGTTGTGGCGGTGCATTGGCGACGGTGTTCTAGTGGACTATCACGATAAATTATCACAAATAGTATAGAAATTGCTAGTGATACATAATTACACAGTATAATGGTATGGAATGAGAACAAGACTAAGCAATCATAAGCGATACATAATATCCGGAACTGGCCTACGTCGAGTAAGCAACAAAAGCATTATAATTATAACTCGACGGCGTGGCGGTAAACGTATAACCGGACGGTTTCAAGGAAACAACAGATTTACCATTCCGCATAATGGAGCCTTGCATATATCCGCCTACAGTAAGGGGCATGTTGAGTTTTGACAGACCCGCAGGCACGGAAAATGTCTGGTTCTTCGCCGCAGATGTAGAAAGGGTAACGTTTGCGGCAGCTGTGGTGAACACAACGGCCCATAACTGGTCCTGATCCTGTCGGCGGATTAGATTTTGTACATGGCAATAACAGGGAAACATACCAGTTCGTAGTTGGTGGGCTTCCCAACGGAATCGGACGATGTAGCATTACGAGTGTGTGGGCGAGCCCAAAGGAAAATTTGGTCCTTAGTAATAGCAGGGTACGATCCGGTCTTGTACGCGGTCGCAAAGTATTGAGTCATGTAGAGCCAACCTGGTAAAGTTCAGATGGATTACTCTTGCAACGACTAACAAGACCGACTTGCCCTGGTGGTCAAAACCAT